AATTCTTAGTTACATTGCAGACGAAGTATGTTACATATTATGACTGCGATAGAAGTGTTGTATGAGATGAGAATTATGTAGTTTCCTTTATAAAAATATTATGTTTAAATTATGCGCGAAGATGGTTGTCGGTAAGGGACATCTAGCGAGGAATTCAAATACATGTACAGTAGATAATTGTCTTGTTCGCTTACAATTTCTTGTGTGTTTAAATCTGGTTAAACATGTCCAACTAAAAATAGTGCTTCACGAGCCGTGAATGAAATGACAGGGAGAGTGTATCGTACATATTGAGTAATCCGAGATTTAAGAATGAATGATTTATGATTTCGTAAGTCGGGCCAGTGCAACGACAAGTATTTACGTATTGATAAACATTGATTGACGATAAAGTGTGATAATTGAAGAAACGTTACTAATTTAATTAGAAAATGAAGGGGATTTTAATTTTCGATCATCTCAATGATGTTCTTTTTACGAAGTGCAATAAAAAATTTGCAAATCATGTACAAAAGTTAGCTAAGATGCAAGGATTAGTTTCAGAAAATAAGGTACGTTTCTGTCAAAACTTGTAGAAAATGTTAATATTTAAAATGATCAAGAAAATATTGGTGTTTATCAGTTCTTTGTAAATGTTGTATAGCCGTATGTATCAGTAAATAATATTTACTTTTGGGACTTGCAGGATACAAGTGATACAGACACAAAACTTAATCCAAATATAATAATGCAATTATTTTCACCTATTGTTACATCTCAACATGTAATGGCTTCTCAGTTTGGTAATTCTTATACCTCAATGAAATGCCATGATGGTACCAATATGGTATTTGATGAATTTATGGGATATACTTTTATTTATATTTCTTTAGAAGAAATAGAATTAATGAAAAGGACTTTAGGTGTCTGTGTCGCAATTGTTAAGCATGTCTGTGGACCAGATGTTGGAATGTAAGCTTCATCATAATAATATTAGTTTGCAGAAATAATTGAATTAAAGTAATAATACAACAAAAGTATTATTTCAGACTAAAAACAAGCAGACACAAAGTATGCTTAGTGTCTTCTTTATTAGATGCATGGGTGCATCTAAGAGACTGTGAACAAAGTATGCTCACAGAAGCAATAGAACAATTATCAATAAATACTGACTTAGGTGTATCAATATTAAAAGTATTGCATGATGCTTGTGATAAATTGAAGGCTCAATCTGAATTTTCTAATGTCCATATCTTAATTTTGGTGGAACAAAAGTTTTTGTCATTATATTCAAGTAAAAATGCTCATGATTTATATGCTTCTGATATATTAATAATGATGCTTATGTGTTGGGTTGTAAATCAAAAAAGAAAAGCTGGTTATCAAACTGGATTAAATAGCAATTCAGATGAAGACCGTAATGATATTCTTTTGCCTGACAACAGTTCTTCCAAAGAAGAACAAATCACTTTTGGAGCAAAACTTGCAAATCCTACATCAGAGGATATTACAAACTTATTTAGTATGATTTTTATCACTATCTGGTCTTTATAAGTTCATCTGATATCGTATATATTTGACATATTATTTTGTTGTAGGAGGATCCAGAGAATCTTCCATTAATGAAGGTTTACATTCCTTAATGGATGATGATTTGTATAGCAATCTACTTTTACTTGGATCTGAACATGATTACATTGCTAATGCAGTTCATATTTTTGAATTAGCTGAGGGCATTAATCTCGTCATGATAGTAGAAGTAACTAATTTGGCTACATCATCAGGATTATACGATAGTTTCCATTATTTGAACATTATAAATGGTTTGCAACTTCAAAGGGACATAGATGAATTAAGACCAGCGTTTGAAAATTTTGACTTGGCAATGAAGAAGGCATTAGATGGAATCAAGAAAAATAGAGCCAATATTAGTAATGACGTTGATATGTGTCAGAGAAGGTTACAAGTAAAATGGGAGTTTGTTAGGAAAAAATATATGGATCTTTTAAAATCCAGAGATCCAGAATCTGTTCTTCAAATTGAATCTAATACTTCTGGATTCACAGATAATTTAAAAGAATTATACAGATTAACATGCTTAGAAAAAAACTTTTTAAAACAAGGCATTGATGTACTTACAACTGTAGGCAGATTGGTTCGCCAAAAGTTAAATGACTTTAGTGACTTCTTAAAAGTGAAAGCACTGAAGAACTTCACGCTTGGATCATATCCTTTCGTAATTACTAAAAATTATTTTTAATTTTACAGTTTTGCAATGTTATTTTTAAAAATTTTTATTTTTTAATAATAAATTACATATGAAAATATACCTCCTTAATGCCATATAATCTACGAGAACTTCCCTAACCATCAATAAATATCTAGAAGAGTTTCCAGGCCTTGTACATTTCATATACATAGACAGAACTACTCACAGACTAACAGCTCCAACATTGGACTTCACAAATCCTGAAACTCTTGTTCTCACAACAAAGAAGGTGATTTTTTAAAAGTTAAATTAATAAATATAAATTCAATGTTAACCTAATTAAATATTATGTTTATAGATTTGGAATATGGTGAAACAAAGTAGAATGCATTTAGAAGAAGGACACTTATCAGTTATGTGGAAAGATACAACATTCAATTATGCTTACTTTTTATGGTTTGAGGACAGTTCTGTAAGTAAATATTACCATTTAAAAATAATATGCATATAACATTGCACTGTTCCTATAATATACATATGTTTCAGGGTTCACCATTAAAATGTAAAGTTTATTTAAATCACGTAATGAAAAATTTCCCGGTGCCAGGTATATTTTGCGGAGATTATTACAGGTTGGTATTATTGTAGTTCTTTTTCCATCTTCTACTGACAAACACTTACTTTGTTTTATCATTTTATAGAAAATTAGCTGAAACGTGTTTTCCTAAATTATCCGCGAATAAAATCCGAATCTATGAACTTTACTGCGTCCACCTTGGTCTGGCCACATCATCATGCGTTTTAGAACATTCCAGAAGACTCGCGGCTACAATATGGGAAGTCACGGGTGTTCCAAATAATCCTGCCGATATACTTTAACAACATTCCACTTGCAGTATTTCTGTACAAAACAAAACCCTACGACGGTTTCCGATAACGTGAATACTTTACACTACAATTAATATTTAAACAAAACTATTTAAAAAGACTCTTAATTATTTATAAAGTATTTAACCACACGTATTAATTTGATATTTATAAAACATAGTAATGCAAAACGTCTGTATTTATTTTATACATTAAATATTTAAAAATATAATGGCACGGAGTTAAAAATTGACAAAAGAGAAATATGTACTGTATATCTTTTCTCCGAGTTTCATTGAATCAATCTATAGAGCATTATAAATGTTTGGGAATACATTAAACGCATTATTAGCGTAGTATAAAAGAAAAAGTATTTTTTTTTTCTTTTTAATAACTTTTAAAAATATCTTCAAGCGTAGGATTTCCACGAGAATGCGTTAAAAACTATCCAGTAGTTCAGTCTATGATACCTCTCCACTTTGCAATGCACACTTTCAATACTATGAACACGGCACAGTAGCGTCTTATCTCGGAATAGTCCAAATGTTTTAAAAGCAGGCTTGCTGTCCATGAAATGCGGACACGATTTGTTTATTTCAAAAATTACAACACACACACACACGCGAGTGTCTGTATGTGTTATAATATGTTATGATGCTCTACAGTTTTTGAGTATATTCTTATAAGGTTTTAAACGAAGTTAAGAAGAAATTAATTTATTTTCAATGGTTATCCGCTGTATCTGATTTCCGTGTATTGTCCGTTTTTTTCTTTGTAATTTGACTATAAGTTTCTTGGGAAGGTGTATTTTGCACACAATTTGCCTCAATCGAATCTTGTAACACTTGATTATGCGAAGTTCTATCACTAGTACTTCGCGTGGTGACGGATCCTGAAGTTCTAGCTTTTTTTAGTCCAGATTGAGACTCGTTTATCAACTTTCCTCTACCCCTGCTAATACCACTTTCATATGTTTCACCTTTACTGGTATATTCCCTTACTATTTCTGATTCCTTATTGGAATATCGTCTGTTTTTATTTAGTACAGTTTCTGAAACGTTAGCTTTTATTTCTGAAATTGCTTTTATAGGTTGTGAATCTTGACTTGTACTATTCACTATATCTGTAGTTGATTTCCTTGAGTTATTTTGATTAATACTCCTTTCTATGCATATCTCTGTATTCTTTGTTTTAAGAGTAGTGAGCGTTTGACTCTGAAATAAAGGTGGATGTATATAGGCGAATTGTATGCAGCAGATAGAATATAATATTCAATTATATAATACATACAGTTGTAGTAGAATTATCCTTAAGTGTTCGCCTTTCATCAAAAATATTATCTGGGGATTCCATTCTAGGGGGAGAGAATTTTTCTAATTTCTGAATTTCTTTGCTAATATAATCCTTTTCAGCTTTACATTTATCAATATTATTTGAACTTCCATTCATTTTTGCCTTCCTATTAAGTTCAAATTCTCTGATTTGCCTTTCTAAATTTGCCACTTCATGATCAGATTCACATAATTCCGGTATTAATTTATCTAAATACTGTTCAGCTGCTTTTTGTATATTAATGGCAGATTCAAGGCCAGATGTTTTCGTAAGATTCAAACTACAAATAAGTAGTTGTGATTAAGCATCAAAGGTTATACAGAATAATTATTGGAAAGGAAATTTTACTTAATATTGCTACTGCTTAGATATGTTAAACAGAAACTTACTTTAAAGATTCTATAAGTTTATTGAATACATCTGGTGTATTTGATAACTTTTTTGTAGGAGCAGGTTTGTAATCTGAACCATCAAGTATGAATGAATCATTTCCCAAATTACTTATTTTTAAAGGAACTGGTTCGAATACTCTATAGAAAAAAAGAAAATGTTTTATAATCGTAAATAGAAAAGAAAATATTCATACGATTGTACTCATGATTGATTTATACTTACCCTCTTCTACGTCTTAAAAAAACATGTTTAAATTTATGCGTGCCTCTATCGCTGGTAATCGAAGAACTTAATAGGCATGTAACAAAGAACTCTTCCACACAACCGTTCTCCCCACAAAAATATGAAGCAAATTCTTTATGCAATATTTTATCTCTCATAGTGGGCGTCAAATTTGTATTTCGTCTAAAGCGAAACCAACCAATCACTTGTTTACTCTTATCGCGTATGAAGTCCTTTAATTTTTCTTTATTAATTCTACCAATAGAATCATGGAGAAGACTCGGTAATGGGCAAGTAACGACAGTTTCAATATCTGAAAACGTGAAAATCTATTACTGCAGAACTCTGCTTATATATGTTTAAATATCATGACAATTTGAAACTGGGAATAGATAGTTACTGTTGTGTCTCTTCACAGTCTCTATTTGATTTTCTGAATCTGTGTACGTTTTCACTACGAACTCAAGGTTCTCACCTAGCAAAAAACCCATCTAGAACACGGAGAACCAAAAATTCGTTTGATTCAATGTTTTCAATCACATATTGGGATAAGGTTAGATTTCATTTAAGGTTAAGACGCCAAGCTTATGCAATTCTTCGAGTAAGCAACTGCGTCAAAACGAATGGTTTTTTAATAACAATCAAGGGACTAGAGGCAGATTTTACCTGGTCTCCACAACTGCGAACATATTCGTAGAATAATAACGATAACGCAGCGCCCGAAATCGTAATCAGCAAATCGCTATCCGCCATGTTGACAATTAACTGTTATTCACTTTGTGATTTTGTTTGTACCTACTGTCGTCACGCTATCGAATTATATTGTGTGTGTCCCACGCATCTGCAACAAAGTATATGCTACTTGTTTCTGTAAATAAATCTTGTAAAATTGTAATAAATAAAAACTGATCGAAAAGATTGACAGACAGCTCTAAAATAATATATGTATCGTAATAAACGCGATGTCCCAATATTACGTCCTTTTTGCACTCTTTAGGACACGTCTAATCATCTAATAAATATATATGCAAACGACGATCATATGCGCAGAATACTTACATAATGTCCGCAAATATCAAATTTATAATAACAGTGACACAGAAAAGAAAGATTTGGAAGGTTTAACAAAACAAATGGTCAAGAATGACTGAAGAAAAAGGATCTACATATAGCATGGTTGAGTGGGGTGCTCAGCAAATTTAATGCGCATTAGTTTGCTTTCACTATTTGGGAAACTGATTTCTCGTCTTTTATACTTTTATTTCATGTTCAGAACACGGAATAAAAGAAAACAGTTGCAGGGCGAGTAAAACTAACGAAAAAAAGAAAAAGAATGGTTTTTTGTCTATTAGATCTTCTATGGTCGATACAGGCGCTTCGTGAAATATTTGATAACAATTTTCCTTTGTCGATAAGATGGTACAAGGAAGAGAAATACGTGACGTAAACTTTTAATTGCTGAGGGGTGGAATATGATTTAAAAATCCAAAAGATATTTTCTGTCAGAAGTGGGATTCGAACCCACGCCCACAGAAGTGGACTGCGACCTGAGCGCAGCGCCTTAGACCGCTCGGCCATCCTGACATTGTGTTCATCAATTTTGCGATAAGAAAGCTGTAAAGATGCTATAAACATAAACATTTCTGCGAATACACTGATGCAAGTCAATGAAACGGAAATTTATCTCTACTTACGCACTTGTATCTACATGCAGTTGTATTCTGTTTGCGCTAAAGTTTGTTAACAACACGACACAACAATCATTGAATCTTATCCTTAGTACATCCACTCTTATATTCTCTTGTTCTGTAATTTCGTTTACCGTTGGTCTCCACATTGTACTTATCATAATATAATATTACTATTAAACATTTTGCGATTGTAAATATCAGCATTAAATTAAAAAAGAATTAAAGATATGACAATTCTTTTGTAGTACATTACTTTTGAAACGGTCTCAAAAGGACTGCTTTCAACATGGCAGGGATAAAAGAGATAAGGTCAAAGCTTCTATACTTCATTTCCCTTTGCATGCCTTTAGTAACGATTTCAAAAACCAGTGGTTTCATAAATTGTCAGTTTAAACAGTTTTCGACGTAATTAAACGTTACAGTTTGAAATTATAAAGCGATCGAAGAAATCAATTTATCGATGAGCATGGAATAGGAGGCACGCGAAACCCAGACATGCACCCTCACGTTTAATAGGAACGAGTTTATTAGAAATCAGTAGTTTTGGCGGCCTGGTACTTCCAGTGTTAATTAATACTAGAATAATATTTTTTTTAACAGACGACGGATGCTTCTTTGACAAATTACTAAAGAAACTGATCTACCTACACGTAAACTGAATTGTAAATCAATTGAAATCTCAATAAATACGCTTTTTATAGAAAAAATTCCAAAAGTTAACTCAATTGTTCGGTGGTTCTAACGGTAAAGAGCCCCCGTAAGAAGCTCATCCGGCCGATCGTTCTCAAGAAGCGAAACCGTGGAACGCGCGCGAATGATCGCCCAAAATATACCGGGTTCGCACGTACCTACACGAGTCGCCGCCAGTATTTCTAGCTGAGAAGTAGAGTCGATGTAGGGCTTGAGGATCGCGTGATGTAAGCTTTTAGTGATCTCTAGAGGGGCGCCGAGATTGCCTCTCCGTACTACTAGAAGCTTCATTTTCTTCAGCTTTCCTTGGTTCTCCCCTGTTCGTCAGCGTCGCGACGCGTCTCATCCCGGGATACGTTGTACAGGTCGGCTTGGACCATGACGGAGGAAAAATGGGATTACCTGAACGAGAAATGGGAGCACATAGACCAGCCGGTAAGTTCCGGCTTCTAAGATCCTGGTCAGCGCCCTTGACTTTTCCCCGGTTGCGTAAGCCGCGGAATTTACCGCGAAAAAGCTCGTTAATTGCTACTAACGAGTCGCCGGTAACGCGAAACTTCCTCCAGGGTGTCGGTTAACCCGCACGAACTTGTTAACCTGCCGTCCTGGACAGCAGGTTAATTGATTTCCACGCGACGAGTTGCCGACCGAGAGGCTTTACGCAATTTTTCATGTTGCCCGCGGCGATGCAACGTTTTTATGCGAGTTTTTTAGCGATTCTTGAATACCACCGCCTTTAGGGGTGGCAAATGTAGACTCGTTTCTTCTGTTTCGATTGTGATTCATCCTTGGACACCTATATTGTTAATGATTTATCCGGGTAGCAATTTATAACTGTGTAATATTGCGAATGTAATTTAAACCTTGAATGGTGGGTTTGAATTATCTTTTATGTATATTTATTTGTCGAGGTAAGAAGCACATTTTTAGGCTTAAATGATTGGATTCATTATGATAGTAATTACATAATGTAGTTCAAGTGCAATAGGGTAGCAAACAGATCTTGGGTTTCACTTGGAAAAAAGATTTCTCTGTATTCGAAGTATATATCGGCTAGGTAAACAGAAAATAGAAACCTTTTTCAAAGTTTAAAGTTCAAATTGCAAATTTTCATGAAATACTGGGAAAGCAAGTTCTTTTAAGTCTTTACGTCAAGGCTATATTAAAATCACATTAAAGTCTCAGTTAAATCTTAAGCAAAAGCACGTTTATTCTTAATCGGAGTAACCAAACGATTCATTAACGTTTTTTAATTAATTCTCCACAACAAAGTGTATAGCTTGAATATATTTTTGTTTAGAAACATTCATTTACAAACAAAGTTTCAGTGTCTTGATTGAACCCTTTGCACTCGTGTGTCATGCTGGAGATGAAAATATTTTGTTATAAAAGTACCACACATTAAAAGATTATAAAAATTAAATCTTATAATAATAATAATAAATAAAAATAAATACGAGACGTTGAATTCTACCGCTGTAAATTATTTTAATCCATTTCCCCAAAAATGTATATAAGCTTACACCCAACAACATTGAAAATAAATCGAGTGCAAAGGGTCAAAGCGTCAACCCCTTGAAACTGTTTAAAGCCATAGGGGGATGTCCTAGGTACTTAGTTCATCAAGAACAACTTGATCAACAATGGTCGTTAGCGCATCTGAATCTTGAAACTCCTCGATCTTCTTCTTACAACACTCTCCCAGCATGTTTTCGTGCGAAAGGGGCGTTCAGATTATCGTTGAAATGGGTCATTGCGTCGTGTCTTTGAACAGCTGATCGCAATATCAAAAGAGCCGCGCGTTGCGTTACGAAACAAATATCATTTCGCGTTCCTTTTGGCGAGCGCGGCCATCCGCGAACGAGGACACGCAAGCGAATTTGTGGCTCCACGCGAACTTCACGCCGCCTAGCAAAGAAGAAGATAATGGACACGTACACAGATCGTGGGGCGGCGCGAGGGCGTCACGAGCTTTCATTCATGATTCCCGTGTGACACTGATCTTGCATACGGTTCGTCTGTGTACCAATGCAGACCGAATAACGCCGGAAAATTATAAATATCGAGGAGACACGACAGTGTTTCAACTTCAACTTAAATTTCACTTTGAATCGGCTTGGCAATCTATTATTCTTCGAGCAGAAGGCGAGAGTTACATTTATAGTTTCTGCTGTTCGAACGATGTTAGAAGATTGTTAGGTTGAAATTGAACCCGATTTTTGATTTGATAACTTGATTAATTTTAAAATAACATTTAGAATCGTCATTTCTTATGAATATATAATAACATATAAACATTTGATAAAGGAATTAAGATAAAAAGTTTAATGTAAAAGGACGTACATTTTTATTTAATTTTTTCTCTTGTTAATTAGCCACGAAGAAATGTAGATTTACATAAATATCTGAAGTTCACTACTAGTCTATACCGCTATCTTGGTGTACGGAACAAGGAAAGGAAAGGTCTGAGAACGTATTCACGAGTTGTTCAGTTTGAAAAGACGACGATTACGAAAAATTCAATAATTTATGAAATCGACACTTGGGTTAAACGTTTCTTATCAGTTATCGGAGATTGGTATTTCCAGGTATGAATTCGTTCTGATGATTATTGCGATAATATCGGCTTGATACTGGGAATAGTACGCAATAAGTATACAGAGTAATTAAAAAAAAAAGAGAGAAGAATTGTAAGCCGTGAACGTGGGTTATAAACAATTCTAAGAACTGCAATATAAAGTGTCTTCGGTGTACTTCATATGTGTAATACGGACGGTATGTTAGAATGAATTTGAGACCGTGAAAGCGAGTTCATTGAAAGACAGAGCGAAGAAGGGATGCGGGTCAGTAAGCCGGGACGAAATTGGCAAAGAGGTGCGCGTGCTCTGCGCACGCACGATTGACAATCGCATTCTTAATGATTGCACTAGCATGTCACATGTGCTGTTGCACTTGAACCTTCAAACTTATTAGCTGCTTTTGCGACTTAATTTCTTATGCGACGTGTGTTACAGATTGAACGTGTTGAATCGATATAACTGGCTTTATAATCTGTATATTGAAATCGATTTTCTTTCCCAATTTATTTCGTCATTATGACAGTGTAAATGTTTTCTAAATATAAGAGGATCATATTACGTTGATGATATGATAATCAAAGATACTATGTTGATGAAGTTATACTTAGAAAGATGATTGTCATAGAAAATGAAATACTTCTTGTGAGTTTGTTTAATCAAGCTAGACACGTTATTGATAACAATTATGCAAAGGGGTGCAAAAGGAATAGTTACTGTTGAATTTTTGAAAAGAATTTGAATTAATTTTTATTCTGTCGTACTTGGATTCGAAGTCGTTTGTTTTTAGTCAGAATATTTTCTCTGACTATAAAAGTTGCAATAGGTGCTTCGGATCTTTAAAGAATAATACGAAAGGAATTTCGTTCTCCTGTTAATGTTACAGTTCAGGAAACTTAAAAAAAACCTGTTAGAAGAAGGTGAATACATGAATCTTAATGATGCAAAGTTCCTAGCTGCTATGGTCGACAAGAACGTCCAGAATAAAATGCGGATCAGTGTAAAAACGGGTTATATCGGCTCGAGTAAACCCAGGCTTTTGTGTTTTATTTATCAAATCGATTACAAACACGTGCGTCGTGCTAAAAACGGAGTGCAGGTCGACAAGCCGAGAGGTTGTACTAGAAAACCCAATAATTGAATTTTCAGAATTCCTTTTTTCAGCGTCATTTCACGCGAGATTGGTAGAAATTACCTGTAAATACTTACTTCACACTTGAAGAGCAAAGTAGAACACTTCAGCTCGTTTTTGTCCTTACATTATCATCTGCAAAGTCTAAATTCCATTTAACACGTTGAGTATCACGAGAATTTCGAGTGTTTTCTATAATACTACTTATTCTTTCATAACAAAGGTAAGTGGATTAGAATTAATTATCAATGACTCGGTATCATGGATTTGAATGACATCGATGAACACCGTGGCGATCGACGTGTTAATGATTTTTCTTTGCAATTAATCCTTGCCATCGTATGAACTTTATAAACAGTAAATGAAATGTATTATTTAATTATATTTAAAACTTCAGACAAATTTCATAAATAATAGAGTTATTCAACATCAATAAAATAAAATACTTAAATCAATTTTCTTTTTTCCTTAACAAGTTCACCATCGATCGCACAAGATGAAATAAGGGTTCACACTCTGTAGAAATGTTCAGTTGAAAGTACTGCACTCATTGTTAGTTAACACGCTTAACACTTCCGAATTGCTAGAAAATAGTTGTAATATGTAATGTAACTGATGTCAAATTAAATTGTTAACACTAAAACTACCAGGCGGGTTAAAATGACCCGTTCCTAATTTCTTCATTTGGAAATTATTAAAAGGGAACAGATGTTTCTCTAAGAAATTATTAAAGAAATTGTTTTATCCACACGCAAACTGAATTATAAATCAATTTTAAATCAATTATAAATCAATTTGAAAATGTCAATTTACCTGCTCGGTAGATTTAGTGTTACTAACGTAACTTGATAACAGTGTAAGAATTACGATGCCAAACCAGGGCCATCGGTGACCCCCAAACGAGTCGGATTACTGTAGTTCAATCAGTTAAACTATGATTATTTGAAAAGATTTATATATTACAAATAATGCTCTCTAATGTGATGACATTCAGCTAGATGAACATGCAATAATAATAATGCAATTCAATCAAATGCTTTAATATTCTATTTTTTCGATTTGGGTACTTTGCGCTATGAAATTGTGCGACATTCAACGTATTAATGATTATTCCCATTTATCTTTCCTACGAAAAAATTAGTCTTATATAAAATGCTCAAGATTTCCGTGGACTTAACGCGTTAACCACCTACAAATCAGGATGTCCGGCTAGAAATGTACTTCCACGCGATTATATATTTATTAGACGCGGCATGCAGCGTTTGAGAGAGCAAAGATGATTTAATGGGGCTCTTCAGAGACCGCGGTAATCAATTGCGGTTTTTTCGAGCGTCGACGATTACCTTGTTGGACGGATTATGTGTCGCGCGTTCGTAGCATCCAATAAAACTATAAACTTTGCGAAACTATAAAGTGCAAGGTGAATTTTATCGGGATTGCCTGGGGGTTCAGTGTTAATCCCCGCGGTCGCGGTTCAATCGAAAGGCAACGATGCACGCGGCGCTTAAAGACGCACATTAAGCAGCGCAATAAACAGATCGATATGACGCCGTAATTAACGTGCGCCGCTTCGGTATCACGCGTTGGGATTTTTCAGTCAGGGGAACTGTATATGGGTTGGTTAACATTTTTAATCATTTAACTGCGTTCGACGAATATACACGTTGTCTTAAAACGCGAAGTGGTACTAATTTTTTCAACGATAAATTCTTTATTTTTCCAGATAAATGTGTAATTCTTCATCGTTTTGCCCTATTTTTTCGTTAGAATGTAGTATAGATGGATTTGCTCTGCGTTTGACGAGTATACACTTTACTTGAATAATAACTTAATAGCAGAGACTTGTTTTCCACATCTGGATAAAGAAAATGATGGAAAAGAAAGCGAAGGAGTGAAAAGTCAACGCTTTGTTAACAGAAATAGATCTCTACTGGTTAGTAATATGTTAACATTGTCGACCACGCATTTTTGGTAATTGTACAGAAACTTCTACAAATTAAATCTCGTATAAAACATACAGGACAATTAAAACCATGATCCTTTAACAATTACTTTAACAAGTAACAGTTATTTTAACAAATTTGTATAAGTCGACTACAAAGAAGATAAGAGAAAAAGAGATAAGAAAGGATGTCTTGACTACAAAGAAAACAAGGGAGAAGCTGGCAAGAAAGAAGATCAAAAGGAACGTCAAAGAAGAAGTCAAGAGTAAAGTCAAAGAAGAAGAAGAAGTCAACAGATGTCACATTGTTAAGAGCTATAGATTTCCATTAGCTGGTACGTAACGCGTTCAGATGAAATCCACCCTTACAGCCTCCCATAAAAAGGGGACACCTCCTGGAGCGTATCGATTCCATTCCACGCGGCCTGATGTTCAAGGTCCCAGTTTGAATTCGGTGGCGGTGCCGCGATGGTACGCCTTGACCGTGGGATTTTCGCTCAGGCGCAATGGCCCCTGGATCGGGCGGGGAGTATTCTGGCTAGGAAACGATTCGTGAACGTGTTGCTACGCCGACGGACTTTTTCACCGAGCGACGTCGTGCCGCCGCGATTCATGTTGTCCGTTGATCAACCGATCGTCAACAACAGCGGTCAGAAGCGATCGGTTTACGCAGCAACTCGCCACGTCGTGTACAGGTAGCCGGTCGAGGACTTCCGGGTTCACTGGGTCAAGGCGCAAGATGAAGACCAAGAACGTGTCGCTCTTCAGCAAATTCTGCAAGTGCTACAGCAGGAAGTCGATGGCTGAGACGGGAGTGTGTCCGGTTGACGAGGACCCACCGATGTTGACGGCGTCTGACGAGGTAACCCCTGACACGGGGACCAATTGTTGGCAATTCAGAGTGACGTCAATTATTCCGTATTCAATATGCATACGCGACTCCGGATTAATACAATATTGCGTACACTGTGTTTGATTTGTCTTCTACGCATCTCGGTGTAATTTTTTTGTCTTCGAGCTGCTCGACAGCTTGTTGATCGTTATGGAACTAGGGAAGATTTTTGTTTTCAGAGCAGTCACGATCACCTAGTTTTTATTTTATTGGAGTTTACAATAGATTCTTCAGTGAAAGTTTTCTGTGGAGGCTGGGTCGGAAGAGTATTCCGTTGTGGGTGGTAGATTTTATTTTATTGTGCTTCGAGTCGGAGAAAAAGGTATGATCGGGATAAGCCGAAAAGTTTGTTGCGACAGTTATGTCGTGGTTTTTGAAAATAAATTTGCCATAACATTGAACATTCATTTTACAGAAATGTGATTAGATTTTTTCTGCTTACATATGTATAACAATTGAAATTTACTTCTGGATTTTAATTTTAGTTTCAGTTTAGTTTTACCATATATTTTAATATTTACCATTATTTCTTTATCAATCCGAATGTATTTAAATACGTTAATTTCCTAAATAGTTACTGCTAGGATAATATTCTTATAAACAGGATTGTTATAAATGCTGTTAAATAAATAAACATTAATAATAAATAAATGAAATAAATATTTAGAGTACAGTAAAAATAATTTTACTTTGTATATATATACTTGTTATAATTTCATAACACATATTACGATATTTTTGTTAATTTTCGAGAATATATTTTTGTACCAAAACGTAATCACATGATTGTATCGCTTAATCAGTTTAGATAATCGAAGTTTTACCATATCACAATTGCCTGCATTTATTTCTTAAATTTTATACTGATATAATATCTTTTTCGTGTGAACAAGTGATTATTTTTTATGTCGTTTGTTCGTATCATTAAATAAATTTAACTTTGAGAAAAGGAACGAGGCTAGGATAATACACGGGGTGTTCCGTAAACAAAAATAGAGGATATATGAGCGTAGAAATCTGTTTCCAAAAAAGAATTTTTCTTTAAAAATACAAATGTATTGAAAAAAAAGCGAACAAAGTTATTCGCGAAGAAACAGAGACACTTTTTATACACCAGTAATCTTTAACAAAATTTATGTTATATACTTGCAATTTTTGTCTACGTATAGGCATATTTATTTTTTTATTATATCATTCATTGTGAGTCACAATGTATATAATGTACAATTTTGAAGGTGATTGCTTACTCTAGTCTAATGCTAAATTTAAATGAAACTGGTATGCGCTTGCAAAATGACTGCGTTCGATCTTCGTGCAAGTTTCGAGGCTAAATTTCATATATTTTTGGTGAATGAACAATAATGAGTACGGACTACAGTTTAATAGACATAAATACAAACCAATGATTACAAACTATTACCGCAGTCGATAGAATTGTAAAATATCGAAGTCTATATATGACATTAAATATTATTAGACTAATATTATTGGAATTATCATTAACAAATGTTTGATATTTTTAATTATTTAGTCATCAAAGTAATGGTTAAAATATTGAAAATAATAGGCTTCAATTACAAGGTTCAAGATCATGTTAAATTTTTTTGCTAAATGTATAATGAATGATTGATGTGACAATTTCTTTTTATAGTTCTATAGCAATCGTTACGTGATCGTGCACATCAACTTGTTAGTTCAATTCGTTTACAATGATGCAGTAGTTGACATTAGCGACCACGCATTGTGCCAAAAATTTGTAACGTAAAACATGAAGGAAATGTTGCAAAGAACCTTGAATTTAATACATCTTCTTTATTTAAACAAAATTATATTAGTGAGTGAATTACAGTAATTGCAGATTTAAAAAACAAATTCTACGAACTTTTATATTGAACAGTTCATTATGAATTAAATTATTTATCACACCATCAGTGGAGATAAGATAATTAATAAATCTTTTGGTATCTATACACTCTGATATAATTTAAGAAAACTGATAAATACGTATGTACCACATTCATAATTATGCTTATGTTCTATTGTCTTAAATTAATGAAATCCGAGTATTTTTGATAAGGTAATTAATCTATCTTTCGGTATATACAGGTTTACATAACGACTAACAGAAGTTTACAAATAGTCGCGTAATTATATTTCCAATCAATTATAATTTTCAATTTAAAAAACTTTTTAAATACATCTTTTATTAAATTCTAGATATTGTGTTCAAAAGTAAAGTGTAATAATTTTAATAAAAAATATTCATATACAGGATATATTGTAATGTGTAGAACTTTTCTAGTATTTTACCTAACTAATTTCATAAGAAATTTAGTACAAGTTTTTATAACAAATTTATAAAATTGAAAAATGATAAACGCACTTTTGATAATAGATTTTGGGGATCACGTATTGAAGAAGTTTTCCAAAATATTATACAATTTGTTTACGATATTAGACGACTTTAAGTTCCGGCGAACTTCAATTTCTTCTCAGAACCTTATTCCACAGAAAAACAGTTGTCAACGATCGGTACACGAATATTTAACCGAATTTCCTTCGAAGCATGGAGCACGGTTACACTGTCGGCGAAAATCTGGTACACGATGAGCGTAATCTAATTTGCAAAATTTTCATGTAATCTCGAGGGGAATCAGCAGGAAAATGTTATTTGAATTTTCAGCCCGTCAAGCTGATTGTACGCAGACCCTGTTGTAAGAAACGCCATGAAGATAAAATGTGTGTACCCGCCGTTTCCAAAAAGGCAATTAAGTAATTTGAATGTTTTATTTTGATAAATACCAAAGAAAATTGCATAAATTATATTTATGTATATATATTCATATGATTTGAATATTTTTTGGTTAACAGAACATGACAGGTTATTGTTTCTTTTTAGGATGGTATTTTATTATATACATTTATTATTTAGAGCAAAATTTTACGTAGTTTAGTATATTTCAGGAGATAGATTTTTATTGAGTTTTAGATACATCGTTTCAGCTGATCTTCATTAATATTTATCTCGATAATTATACCTTCTAAGGGAAATTCAACTATTATTTGTTTATTTCATTTGGAAACATTTAAGTAAATTTAGGTACGATTTGTTTGTTCTATTCCGTTATACATGTTATAACAAAATGTTTTGAGAATTTATCCACTTATAGAACCACGTTGTTTGTATACGTTAAATAGGGAATGGAAAGAGCAAAAGTTTCAGTGGAAAAAAGCAAAGAGAGTAAAAGAAGGTAAGAGGACAGAACTCTCGTCACCCCTTTTAAATTTACTGACCCGCTTTCAATTGCTACTTTAGAACTCTGCATACACAAGCTAATGCGCATATTCGCTCATTAAATTATCGTTAAACATCCGCGAAATTATCACAGCATTATTCCATCATCGTTCTCTTCTGAAGCTGTAGTTTTCAACTAGAAATTCAGTGGGTGAGGCTAATTGCGTTATGTTCATTGAATTTTAATGACTATAAATAAATTTTATTTATCGGGCATTTGTAATGCATCTAAGTATTTAACGACATTTTTATTTTGTTCATTTTTGAAACGACGAAAATTTATTTCAGTTTTATTTTTTCGTCTGTGTGGAATGAAATTAACAAGTTTCGAGATTCCTTAATTTTTTTCTCTTATCTGTGAAGCATTTCAAAGCAGTGGCTCTTGCAGCGCGTTATGAACAGTTCTGTTATTCACGATGCTTCTTTTGAAGGAAATTTCTGTAGGTTTTTTTCTCCGAAAACACGTCACTCCGTCTGAGATGACCGAACTAGTGTACGATTCATAAGTAAATCTTTCTCATGTCAGATATTACATAGTTGAGTGTAACCTTTTTAAAGATACAATTTTTTTTTATATACTCATTTTTAATAATACTTATATTATCAAGAAATTAATATTTGCACTTTACTTCATTCAATCATAAGACTTTTCAGACGCTAAACAATTAGACAACTGATTGAAGGTATTATTTCAATATTTTTTTATATATCTTTGATGATTACAAGTGACAAGAATTAATCATTCTAATCCTAACGTCAGTTAACAGTCTTATTACGTAAATTATTTTTAAATTAAAAGTTTTGCTAAAAATAGAACTGACTTGTATATATCAATTAGAAAAGCAACATATAAATTAGTGTTAGATACGATAATTATATTGTTTTATTTTTTAACCGTTGGTGTTTTAGTTGAAATGGAAAGTGGAATCATAATGTTCAAATACCTAAACATTTACGTATTTAATTAATCACACAATGCTAAATTAAAGCTCAAGAGAATAAATAAATGAAGTTATTATTACTTACTCCATCAATAGTTTATTCTAACGTCAAACAGCAAAATTTATTTCTTTTTTTGTTGCACATTAAGGGAAGAATAATTTTAAAAAAATCAAAATATAATTTTCCTCATTTAATTTTCAAGTTCTGTATTATTTAAAAACAATAACCTTATTATCGTAAATATTGAAATTTGAACAAAAAACTCGAAGCTTTTTAGTTATTAGTTCACAAAATTATAAATGTGCTAAAAAAATGTAATGCAATTAGGAACACGTTAATAATAGATAATACCAAAGATTTTAATGGTAATCAATTTATTTACCATCGATGCAGAATGTATAACAGCATGGATGCTAAAATATTTCCTGATCATTTATATAATAATAGAATTATATAATAACAAATACTTTGTCAACTACTTATCATACATTAGAAAAAGGGAATCTGAAGTTATTTAAGATTCGCTTCAATTTCGTATTATTTCGGGCAGATTACAGACGTCAATCGTTTCGTCTATTGTTTTTCTTGAATAACAACCGGAGATGATAAACTGCGAGATAAACCGACCATTTAATTCACTTAATGATACGCCGTAAGTCTCGGAGCAGCACATAACTCGATACCAGACACGGGAATTAAATTTCGCGTGAACGCCGAAACGATAATGTAATTA